CTCCCTCTCCACTGCTCCTTCAGCTCCAGTCTCTGTTTCGGCTCCCAGAGGAACAACATGATGCAGGTCGTCGTGTTCTGCTGCAGCGTTTTATCTTTGCAACTCTTCCTCTGCTCTCACGGTGTGCCGGTGTTTGAGGGCAGGACTGTCAAACATCTGCAGGTGAGTCCAACAAACACTTCAGAAGAAGACAGATGCTGATGAAGTCAGAGAAGGAGTGCAGAGTTTCTGATGTGCAGAGCAAATACCACAGCTGGAAGGAGAACAAAAGCATTTTAGACTAAGGCTGAGTGTGAAGAACAGAATCAACAGATGATAAATCAGGTAGAGATGGAAGTACCTGGGAATTTAATGTGTAAAATCAGAAATAAACATGGGGTTTGTAAAGGCTGTAAGGAAACCTAAGCCACTGCAAAATAAGACTAAATATAAGATAAAACACAAAACTTCAGAAAACAGTTTAGAACCAGAACCAAACTAATTTCCCCAGCATGGAGTACAACCAGAAATAGTTCCTAAAGAGCTGAAAACTGGCAGACAGAAGTTCAACATCATCAGATAATACAGCTAATTATCTATAGAGGTACTGTATATATATATATATATATATATATATATATATATATATATATATATATATATATATATATATATATATATACTGTATATAGGCCATGCACCGTTTCCTCCTTTTGGCACCTTCTTCTTCTTTTTGACTATTAAGCCGATGTAATGATTCAATTTCTCCACTTTGAGATAAATAAAGTCAATCAATCAAACAATCATTCAATCAATCAGTCAATCAACGTAGTGCTCATAGACAATTATCACCTACGGTTATGTTTTCAGGAGAGTTTGTCTGTTAAAATCTTATGGATTGATTTTAATTACATTTTTACCAGAGACATGCTTCATGCTAATGAACAATTCATTTAAATTTCATTTAAGTTTTAGCTACAGATGTGATTAAGTCACGATATGGGGCAAAATGTGCTGCTTGATGGTGATCTGCGCTCTCAGAGTTCATACTTGATTATTTTGTTGCTCTATTTTTCAATCCAATTTCCATTTATAGCTATTGTAAATGTACGGAAGAGGATTAGGGCCAATGATAATTTTAAAAAAAAGTTAACTGATTTTAAATTTCATTTCAGTGTGATATGGGGAAAAAAGACTTTAATCTAAGAATTCTGGATCTTAATGTAGATGGGCACCATGAAGGAAGAGGAAGTGGAGCACTCAGCTTCACTGACAAAGATGTGAGCTGTTTAGGAGGGCCAGTGACACATTGGTGGAACATAACAGAATTAGGCGACTTTTTACCTGCCTGAGGGGTCCCCGGTGATGCTATTTCATTAATGGAAGAGCAGAAGGTGATTAAAACAAGAGAGTTAGTCTCTAAAACAGACATGTCTACGGCTTAATGCTAACATGTTTGTTAGTTGACAGAATTTAGTCAGAATTCTGAGATTAAAGTCAAAGTTCTGAGAAAAGTCAGAATTCATAGAAAGAAGTCAGAATTCTGAGATTTCCTCCTTTGTTTCCTGTCTTTCATTACTGGACGAACTGATTAATCCAGGTGTGTCTGGCCAGTTACTTAGGTCATACACACCTGGATTAATCAGTGCATCCAATCATGAAAGACAGGAAACAAAGGAGCTGCTTTAAATTCAGGAAGTAGTGGAGTTGTGCATAGAGCCTATTAGCAGAGTGGGAGCAGGTGTAAACAGAGGAGGCAAGAAGGGAGCTGGGGAAAAGGAGACGGACACAAGAGGGCAAACAAGAAATATCTAAGAATTAAAATACAATCAGAAATGACTAAACACAAAAATGGAAATAAGACCAATTAAAACTCAGAGAGTAAACTTGAACAGAACCAAAACCATGAGACGACCCAACATCAATGGCCAAATTTTAAACGAACACCAGATGGAAGAAAGCGATGAATTCTGAATCCGACCGTCCTAAAAGATAACTACGGAGCCCCTAAAGGGACATGGAGGGAAAAAATAAAAGTCAGAATTCATAGAAAGAAGTCAGAATTCTGAGATTTAAAGGAATAGTACACCCAAAACATGATCAGCCTTCATTTTCTACTCACCCCCATGCTGAACAACACTCTGGAGTACTTTTTTGATATCTCAAATGCATCTGGAGATCTGGGGGGCTTCTTGCTGTCTGCTGACATTCAAATAATGGAGGTCTATGGCGCCCGAGGCAGAAAGGTCCATAAAAGTCCACAAAAAACGTGTCAATATTCCTCCATACTGCTCGTCCAATGTATTCCAAGTGTCCTGAGTGGGTAGCATCCAGAATTTACTCGAAACGAAGTCATTTAGAATGTTTTTAGAGCATAAACAGTAGTGTATAGGATTTCCTGAAAGCGCGCACCTGCGCGATCACGACGCTACGGAAGCCGGCAGACCAAACAAGACGAAAGTGCGCATTCAGCGTCTGGTCTGCCGATAATGCAAGCGTAGAAGAAGAAATGTGCTGTTTACCTGTGCAAAGAAAGAAACAACGAAAGAAAAATGTCTGAGGACTTCAGTGTTGAGGAAGAGCATGAGTTCTTTGCAGAGCTGAATGTGCTGGTTTGGTCTGCCGGCTTCCGTAGCGTCGTGAACACGCATGTGCGCGCTTTCAGGAAATCCTATACACTACTGTTTATGCTCTAAAAACATTCTAAATGACTTAGTTTCGAGTAAATTCTGGACGCTACCCACTCAGGACACTTGGAATACATTGGACGAGCAGTATGGAGGAATATTGACACGTTTTTTGCGAGATCTTGCAAAAGTATTGCAGGATCTCGCAAAAGTATTGTGGGATCTCGCAGAAGCATTGCGGGATCTCGCAAAAGCATCTCGCAAAAGCATTGCGAGATCTTGCAAAAAATTAACTTTTGCGAGATCCTGCAATACTTTTGCTGGATCTCACTAAAGTATTGTAGGATCTCGCAAAAGTTATTTTTTCCCCTCCATGTCCCTTTAGGGGCTCCGTAGATAACAGATATTAGGATGCAGGATGAAAAACAGGCAGAGATGGCAAAAGTACTCACTTTCCGTACTTGAGTAAAAGTACAGATAGTTGTGTTAAAAAATACTCTGGTAAAAGTGGAAGTACTGATTAAACTTCTTTACTCAAGTAAAAGTAACAAAGTACAGGCTTGTAAATTTACTTAAAGTATAAAAGTAAAAGTAGAAACCACTTTTTTCATGCCGCTGCCTACTGTACATTTTAAATGGATGTCTGCCAATAGGACTAGATCTCCGTTGTGTTCATTTTCAATCATCTCGTCGTCCATGCTACTATGCTAACGCCACCGCCACCAAGCTGCAATGATTTGCCGCCAGTGAATGCCGCCGAATCTGTTGATTCATCTTGTAGTGGTGCGTCAAATGCAACGTAGATTCCCATCCAATTAGATTGAATTTGGTATTGATGACATGAAAAATAATAACGGTAACTCCATTGAAATGATTCAAAACTAACGTAACGAGCCAATTTTTTAAAATGTAAGGAGTAGAAAGTACAGATATTTGTGTAAAAATGTAAGGAGTAGAAGTAAAAAGTCGCCATAAAAATAAGTAGTAAAGTAAAAATATCAGAAAAATCTACTTGAGTACAGTAACGAAGTATTTGTACTTCGTTACTTCCATCTCTGAAAACAGGAAAACGTTTTTCTTCTGCTGTTAAACGTTTTGTATGTTTTTTTTTTGGGATAAACTTTCCTTCTCGCTGCAGGAAAACATCCTGACTGGTGTCACAGAGGTCCTTGGTGATTTAGGATGCTTGCTTGATGGATGCCAGAGCTCCTCTGGGGGTTTTTACAATCAGGGTGTGCAGGCAGAGGCAAGTCATGGTGCAGCTGGTGGGGGAGAAAAACTCTGCTGGTGAGCTGACTCAGGGAAAAAAGGAAAACAGCCACTTACAGAGAGACACACATCAGCCAAACACAGAGTATCTGAACGAGCCGCACGGCTTTTATTTGTTCTGTTTAAGAGAATCTTCAATTTCACTTTACTCTTAACCTGATCCATAAATTCACATCCTAATCTCACCACTGAATCTTCCTGACAGATTAAAGCTCTTGACAATAAGTCCTGTTTGGTCGTGAAATTGTGACTCATTGCAGATGAATGTTTGAGGATAATTTTAGCTTTATGGATGTTTGGCAGCCAGAAGTTTAAATAGTTTGCTGAATACCTGACAGGAATTTAATATCTGTTTTCAGATGTTGATTTTTCTGCACGTTTTAAGCAAAATCCCATCAAAATGCAGAGTTTTGAACATTTTATATTAAATCCTAAGTGCTTCAGTCTGCTTGCTCACAGATTGATCTGTGGTTCATAAAGACAAATCATCCTCATCATCAGTTAAATCCAGTGAATAAATTAGATGTCCACCTACCAATGACTGCCGTCCGCCTTCTTCTTCTTCTCTGCCTGCCTGCATCTTCATCCCACAGTCTTCCTGGTTCTTCAGGTCTCAGGACTTAAAACAGATTATGCTGATTGCATTTTACATCTTGGATCTATTTTTGCATTCAGAACCTTTTTCTCCAGCAGTCAGACATAGATTTATTATTTTTAAATTAGCATGAAATACCATTTTGGAATAATATCTATGAAGAGAGCAGAAGGAATGTTCATTTGCAGCCTGGTAGGATAAAGATGGATGAGGTGGACGAGGTTCGCAAACAATTGAAATAAATACATATGCATCTTTTCCAGTGTTTATACTGGAGCCAAATTCATCCAATTGCCCTCACTGACATGCAGATTTGTAGCTCACTGTCAGCCCCAGTAGGAAGTTATAACTAGGGATGCAGATATAGATCGCCATTATTGTAGATATTAGCCAAAATTGGTCATTTTTAAACCTGATAAGTAAAACTGTGCTAATATTAGCAGCTACTATTTAATTCTTGTTGGGGCTTTTTTTTTGGTTCCGATAGAGAAAAAATAATCTGTCAGATTGTTTTATATAAACCATCTGACAATCAGTTAAAGCAGAAAACCAACGACGAGACGGTGGTTGGTTTTTCATGGTGTTCAAATAGTGTCGCAATATGTAAAATATAATATCAGTACATAAACAATAACGGCAATATTAAAACTGGATATCGACTTTGGCCCAGATTTTCTTTTTCTCTCTTTTTT